TCAATTGTAATTTCTGATTTGCAATTTGAATTGCATCAGATTTTCATACGTCATTTTAGTATACATTCTTTTGCATGCGTCATTTTTTTCTTACACTTTTTATGCCGTTCGAAAATGCAATTACAATCACTTGTTTTTTTTTCTCTCTCTCTCCCTCTCTCTCTTCTTCATCTCTTCTAAGTACACAATTCGTCCTCTCACTCTCATTTTCTCTCTTTCTTTATTCATTTAATTTGCATAATGTCCTCTTTCTCTCCTTCTCAATGTATATGACATAATCAATCAATCAATCAAAGTGTTGGCGCACAAAATGGATGACGTGAAATTGTGCATGCACAAAATGGCATGAAACAAATTCACAAGCGTGGAAAGTGCAATTATAAATTGCAGGAAAGAGTACAGTAATTCTTATAAATGGTTAAATTTAATTTTCATCGAAATATTTGAATATTTTATTTTGAAATATTTGTTGTTGTTTTGCATTCAAACATAATATAATTCTCTGCCGGAATTCTTCCGCAACTCTCTCTCCTTCTCTCTCTCTCTCTCTCTCAGTGACTAGTCAATAAATTTCTTAAATAGCACTCTTTCTCTCTCTCTCTCGCAGCTAATTCGATGACCGTTGAGTATAACTTAGTGAGTTGAAAGAAATGGTACTGCAAAATTCAAGAGATCATCATCAATGCCTATGTTTATACTATGTAAAAGTTTCCCTGAAATTGAATACTAATAATATTATAAATTTTTGTAAAGAATTAAAAATGGAAAGTACAAAGGGGAAAGTTTTTCACGTAAATGTCACGATAAGCAAATTATTCCGTTAAATTTTGTTTGCATTATGAAATGTCTTTTAAAGGAAAGATATGAAATTTATTTGTCGGTTTTGATGAAATTTGAATGAAATAATTCCTCTTTTTAAGATTACTATTTGAAAAGAGGTAATTTAACTCTTTTCTTTTTAATATTGAAATACACGAATTCATTCCAACTTTCTTTTCATCCAATGTGACATTTTAATATCATGTGTATACGTTAATTCATAGCAAATTTTATCATTATAACTTCATCATTAATGTACTTATTTAATTCTGGTTTTTTTTTTCTTTTTTACATTACGAAGTATTTGTCCCTCCAATATTACACTGCTATAATTATTATTTAAGAAATGAAATCATAGGAAAGTATAATTATGTTGAGGTCACTGCATCAGCCAATCATCTGGAAATACGTAAACAAGAAATGATGGGTCAAAATATCTCCTTTCCACTCTTCTCATATATTTTATTCTCGGCTACTCTCTTTACATATGTCTGCTGCAGTATCGGCTACTCTGTTCTGCATATGTCTGCTGCAGTATCGGCTACTCTGTTCTGCATATGTCTGCTGCAGTATCGACTATTTCCTTTACATATGTCTACTACAGTATCAGTTACTCTGTTCTGCATAATGTCTACAATACCATATTTATGTCTCATAATCCTTCCTTCTTTGCATTTAATTTATTTTGATAATATTATCAAAATTTCTCATCTAAAATTTCTGCTTATGAAATGACAGTAAATATAGATCAAATAGATATGATTATAGTAAATCGGATCAGATTACATCATGTTATTGTTACAAATATTTTTCTAACATTTCAAAACAACAAAATTTTATAGCTTAAACTGTATATACTTCACATTTCCACATGTTATTATCAGGGAACAAACCGTATTCAATTAATTTTATGACCAATAGCCAACAGAATGATGGAGAAGGAAAGGTAAGCAATAGAGAAATGAAATGAGATGAAATGAAATTATGAGAATTGTTAGAAGTACAATTTCATTCTTAACCGAGGACATTTCAAAAATTTGTCCATTCTTCCTTTGCTCTTCCTTTTCCATTTGTCAAATTGAATATAGTTTGTTATCTTTCATTTTCTTTGTTAAACATATATCAATAAGGGAGAATATTTTTGCGCACAATTGTCACATATCCCCGTTTTCACTAGATATCACACATTCTTAACGTTCATTTCATTTTCGATAAGTTAGTTGACAAAGGTTAAGTCATAGAAGTGATAAAAAATCTTAATTCATTATCTTCACACGATAATATAATGTTTGAGTATATGAAAAAGGGAGCATACGGGAAGTTTATATGAACTTTTAGTTTTGTCAACAACGATTGTTCAAATTTAACAATCATTTCAATGGACAGTTTTTCTGCTCCTGGGATTTTTCAAAAATGTTTAACTTGAATGAAATAGATGTGCTTGTTGAATATTTTCTATGCACCATCTGCTTTCAATCCGCGTCATCATATTTCCAATTTTTGTCTGAAATAAAAAAAATCAAACCATCTGCTAGTTATTTTCCTATTTAACTATCACCAAGCATTCGATAAGTTTCATTTTATTTTTTGCCTTTTTCATACTCTTTTCTATTTTTTCATCTTTTAAATATGATGACGTGAATCGTATGGGATGTTTACTGATCATCAAATAGGAAAACAAAAAAGCAAAAAAAAAATTGTCGAAAAAAACAAATCACACATAGCAGTAAATAACAGATTTCAGTTCGTTTAGTATTTTTCAATCTTGTAAAATAAATTAGCTATTATAATCCTGTATGTAAAATATGCTAGCAATAAATAATGAAATTTTTATTATTTTCTGTCTCTATAAATCTCTTTGTTTAAAGAAGCACTAATAAATTTATTACCTATTCCATCATAAATTCATTCATTTGTATTCCTTTTAAAATTCACTTAAAGAAACTAAAGCACAACGATATTTATTCTCATTAGTATCTTGCGGCAAAGATTTTTCCCACTGTTTTTATTCTCCAAAGATATGTTAATAAGTTGACCTTTTCGGAACAGAAATTCAATCCGGTTCGCAAAATGGCTTATTCTTTCATTACTCACTTCACTTTTCTTTTATTTCGAAATTCAAAGTGAAAGTAATTTAAAGTTAAACCAGTTAACACATCCCGAATTCAATAAGCAAATGAAATGAAACATTCAGGAAGTAGTAATTCAATCATCATTTTATTGCATTCCTGATATTTAATAATGACCTTATCACATTTTATTCATAATGACGAGAACTACTAATGTTTTTTTTCAGCGGTGCTGTAACATGAATCATCCATTTTTGATGGAAAGATCTTTTTTTTCTATCTGATTGTACAATAATTTTGATGGATAGAATTTGCTTATTTTTTCTTTTTCAAATGATTCCTTTTAAAGTTAGCGAAAAGGGGAAAAAAAGAGGAAAGTGGAGGAAAAAGTAAACCCTCAATAATTGAAAAAAAGTCAAGTCAATCTGACTATCAAACATTTCTCTATTTTCGTTATACCACAAAATAATTGTCTAATTGAAATCGAATTCTTTTTTCTTTTTGTCCTATGTTTCTTTTTCTAGAAAGAAAAATGTAATTCAGTACATTCTATGCATATACAATTTTCAAGCAAAATTTAATGTAAACATTGAATTCAACTAAAACATATGATTTCAACTAAAATTCAGTTAATTTTCGTTTTTTCAATATGAATTAGTTAGTTATGAAATTACTGACATTCAAGTAAAATCATCACTAGCAAACAAATCATTTATTGAAAAAGTGAAAATTTTTACATTTTTAAAGCTTAAATTTTATACTTTTCAATTTTATTTCAAGAAAAAAATTGTTTCATACTAACTGTGAGCGCAATCATTCCAAATGAAAACGTATACATTACGTATTCTTTTTCCACTTTATTGTTTCATATATGAAATTAGTTTTAATAAATTTTCCGTGGACATAATAATTGATAATACATTGAAGAGCGAAACTTATCTTTATTTTATCATTTCAATTTAATTAATGATTATGCCTTAAGCAAATTTTTTTTAGCCTAATATCTTTTCTTAATATATCCAAATACTTAGATTCTTTTATCATTTATTTGTATAATTTATCCAAATGCTTAAATTCTTTTATTATTTATTTATAAGGGAAAGTTTATATTACTGTTATCTTCTTTTTCTTCTTCGTCGTTGTCTTCTGTAATCTTTCATTTTTGCAATATTTTTTTGACTATAAATATTTGTTAGGTGCTTCAAACCTTTCGAGGACAAATAATGTTAATAATAATAAAGCATTTTATAACAATATGCAAAAAATCTCTTCTATTCTTTCATATCAAAAAATTTATTTGCTAACATATTAAATATATTGTATATAATTCATTTATTTTTTTTTTCAAATATAACAAATATTTGAGAAGATAAACTACAAAAGAGGAATGATACGATATCAGTTTAAATTATGTTTATAGCAATTTATCATATGACAAATAAATCTTCCTTCTATTTCCCGCTTTTGAACAAATTTTTAATACAGATTATCATTATCACTCTCATTATTTAAAAAAAATTAAATTTTTACTGCGGTTTCATAAATCTTGTAAACACGGTGGCATTTTCAATTTTTCACACTTAGAACTGACACATTACATAACCTTTTCTTAAAAATGTTAATAAGAGTAATATAGCTATAATATTTCTTTTGTTCGAAATGTCTTATTATGAATCATTACAATCATTATAATCGAAATGTCTTCTTATTATGAATCATTATAATCATTATAATGAATCATTATGTTATGAATCATTATAATTTTTCTATGTTCTAAATTAGTAATTCGTTGATTTTGTCATAGCATAAGTTTAATCCACGTTTTCCACTGTTTACATTTGTTGTTGTGGTTGTTATTATTATTGGAGTGATAACCTTTTACGTTTTGTTTTTATTTTTGCTTATTCAATGAGTTGAAATTAATTTTGTTGCATGCGAATTTTGCCGAAAAATGTATAATATATTGCTTATTAGCTATGTTTTTCTTTTTCAGACAGATACACCAACTTCCCAAAGCTTATAATTTTGCTTTCAAATTAGAGTTATTTGCTGCTTCTCTCTTTATTTTATTTTATTTTTTATAACTTAAAGTTGAATCAAAGTAAGGCAAAAATGCTATTGGAGTTAGCTAGTTCATTTGCTAATCGATTTGCAATCAAGGGATATGATATTTTTGAGAATGGTGACGAAAGACTTCCCATAAATGATCGTGATTTGGAGAATCGACGTCAAGTATGTTTCCGACTCAACTTTGCCATTTATGGAAATTCTCGATTGAAAATTTATCATAATTTCATTTTTATTAAAAATATTTTCAGATCGATGAAATTTGTCGTCCTCTTATGATCAGTGATGACGATTTAAAGCGAGTGATGAGTGAATTGCTTAAAGCAATGGAAAAAGGATTGAATAGCAAAACTGGTTTTTATTTCCTTTTCTAATTTTTGCACTTAAAATTTGGTAGACATAAAGGAAGATGAAATTGAAAAGGTCAATCAATGAGACATTTTAAAATTGTAGTGGGCCTTTATTGATATTAATTATTCATGTAGAAATCGTTTTTTATTCAGCAAATTTTTAAACTAATGCTATTATTTTACATGTTTGCAATATGAAAGATATTTTAAACTTATTTTATTATTTTATACATTCAGTACCTTATTAATTTTTAGCACCGTCAGCAGCAGTAAAAATGTTGCCTTCCTTTGTTCGGGCAGTGCCGAATGGTACTGAAGTTGGAAATTTCCTCGCGCTTGATCTTGGCGGCACCAATTTCCGTGTGCTATTGATTAAATTGAACGGACGAAATGCCGAAATGACCGGGACGATCTTTCGTATACCAGAAAATGTAATGCGCGGCACTGGTGCAGGGGTATGTGAATAAGAAAATTAAATTCAATTTCCGGAACTTTTGAAATATTTTTGTCATTAATTACATTTCTATCCTTTGTTTTGTTTAATTGATTCTTAAAGCAATGATTTTACAGCTGTTTGATCATATCGCTGAATGTATGGCTCGTTTCATAGAGGAAAAAAATATTAAACAAGCTGAAAAGCTTCCACTTGGTTTCACGTTTTCGTTTCCATGTCGACAAGAAAATCTGACATGTGCGAAACTTATTAACTGGACCAAAGGTTTCAGTGCAAGTGATGTTA